TAGCTGTGTATACCAAATTTCATTCATTTATCACAACGCGATTGAGAGATATTGCAAAAAAATGATTTCCATTCCTTCCTCTTCAATGGGTCCCTGTGCTCTTAGGAAGCATTTCCGGACCCATGTTCATATGAACTTTTTTACTTAGTTTTGATCATAGAATCGGCCTGTTCAGGGTTGGCAGCTAATTATGAGACACCCTGTATACAGGGTGTCCCGTTCATGTTTCAAAAAAACTTGTGTGCAAGTACCTCATGAGAAAATAATGGGGGTAGTTCATATAACGTTTTTCTCTTAGACGCCCTATTTTCGAGATACAGTGTGTTAAAGTTGTTACACTTCTAACACCCTGTATAAATAATAGTATAATAACTAAGATATTTCTACCTCAACACATTTTATAGTTATATAAGGTAATATAATATTTGGAGACACCACATTTACAGGATCGTATTTCAGTAGGCATAGACTTTTGTATAGGTATTTGTAGATTTACTATATCTACGTATTTTAAGTGTTAATTTTTTTATATGATAATATTGTTTTTCTTTTAATTCATAAAGTTATTTAGCTGATATTTCTGTAGGGCTACAATCCAATGCACTTGGCTTGTTATGGTGGTCACGCCACAGTAGTAGGTCTTCTTCTAAGCAGATCCGCTGAGCTCCTTCAAAGCGTTGACAAACATGGGAAGACTGGATTGCACATAGCTGCCCAACACGGACACTACCAGATGGTCGAGGTATTGCTAGGTACGTATACTTACATAATTCTACGCAAATTTCTTCGGCTAAAAATATGTTCTCATTAGAGTACGCATATGTGCATGTTAATATCCTCGATGGAAGATAAAAGTATATAAATAGCGCAACCGTTATAAAATCCATAATCGCAATACGCAATCTTGAACAAAAAATGTAGACCACGATAAACGCAATCAATTCTGCCTTCAGGTCAAGGCGTAAAGATTCGCGATTAAAACGTTATACTTGCCTCGTTTCGCCATAAAAATTTGGTCAAGCAGCACTATCGCGACTGTGGTTGACTTTAAGGGGCAAAGCGTACACGACAAGTCCATAAAAAGTCATGTTTAAAATATCTGTACAATAAAACGTCTCAAGATACGCATTTTTGCATAAATTTTACAGCTTTTAGTGCTAATTCATAACGCTAGAATACATCAAATTAAAAACTTAAAAGACAAGAATTGTAAGTTTCAGAAAAAAATACAATATTCGCCATTCATAATAGCATTAAATACAAATGGTGGTGGAATATGAGACAGACCCTATTATGATGTTTTTATTATTATTATTTGTTATTGGAATTTTTTATCACGAATTCTCCTGGTGAAGACCTTCCTGCTTGAGGGTCAAGTTGATTGGTTTAATTGTAAGTTAAATTTATTTTTCATTTAGAAAAGATCTCTTTATCCTTTTCTATGTTTGGAGAATGACTACATTTTGTGCTAGGGTGAACGACCCTAGACTAGTAAACTCTGGTTTTTGTTTCCAATTTTTTTATTATATTTTGGTCAGATGGTACTGCTATATTTATTAGATAACTAATCTTTTCTTTTTTATGAGACATTATGTCCAGTCAGTTATGTATGATTGTTTTATCTGTGAGTATGGACAGATCCCAATACAGTGTGTTTCTTAATTCGATTACTAAATAACGGGACAAAATGCCCAAATGAAGTAGAGGAACTCCTTATGAAGATATAATGATTTGAAAATTTGCTAGGCTGTGGTACTAATGTTCACATACCACTAAAGACGACTATTTGAGGTCTGCAATAACTCATCAATCAGTTGAAGACACTCACATAAAAATATTAAAATTACATTGCAAAAAACTGAGTAATTATTATATTATATATTCTGTTAAAGTGCTATGAGAATTGAACTTTGTAAATTTTACTCTAGGTTGTATAAGGTATTTGGTAAATAATAGCGGTTCTTTTGTTTCAACCCCGTAACAAGTTAGGAAGTGGTAGAAATAATAAGTAACGACAATACTAATGCAGTTGACTGTATATCTACAAAGATTATTATTTATCCAAAATATAGTATTTTGCTTTGCTATAATTTTATCATAAATCTATTTGTTCAGCTGGAACAATATCGTGAGGAAATAAAATTAAGTCTTATGTCAACTAATAAATTAAAAGAAAAGCATTTAAAATGTTTTTATCACGATTATTGAAAGGTGTTGGTATAATATGTAGAATTAGAGAAATCAAAATGGATTAATAACTGTATATCAGAATCATATCTGCTCTGGAAGAATGACGGGCAAATCTTTATAAACAAATTGACAATAAGGAGTATCTCCCATTCTATAAAGCTCAATCAGCTCTATAGAACGGGATATGAATTTAGTTCCTCAAGGTTCTATACTAGGGCCGTTAATATTTTATATTTTTACAGACTATTTTTTAACAATCTTTTATTAATACCAATTATTTTGTTTCACATGCAAACGATATTTCAATGGTAACCACTGGGAAAATATTTAACGAGTTGTCATTTAATTTGAATGGATAGTATCTGTAAATTTAATAGTAGTTAATAAAGAAACTTTTATAATAAGAATTACTTTATTCTGAACACTTCTGGTTAAACCTTGCAGATTACAACAGAAATCTTACCGAGACAAATTCCATGAAGTTTTTAGTAATTTTTCTTGATGCATCATTTTCGTTTAGATTGGACATTAGAAATAAAATATTTTTGACAAAAAAAATGTACGCCACTGACTTTTTTGTAATTTTTATATATTTTTTAATTAAGCAACTAAAAATACAACTTTTTTGTCTCTTGAATGTTTTTCGTATCTTGATTAATTTTTGGAAAAAAAAATAATAAAATTCACTTAATTGCATATCCCTGAACTGCACAAGAAACATTATTAAAAATATTCCTTAAGGTACTGCTGGGGACGCCACTGGACTTAACAAATTTAATCAAGTTAAGGGCAAATTTGCCCCTTAACACTACAAATAACACTGCCAAATTACAACAATATTGGGTAAAGGGTGTTTAAGATATTTACGAAATGGCAATTTTTTTACAAAAGTTTAATACCCCATATCTTGGAAACGAAGCATCTGCGGACCAATGTTTATATGACCATTTTGTCTGAAAATCACTCAAATAATCGTCTGTTGAATTTATTGTACATAATTAATTAACACTCTGTATAATTAAAAAAAGATTAATACAAAATCTAAGAATTCAGACAATCCCAAATACTTAACGAGAAATGGCAGTATACTGCATATTTCTTACCATCGCATTGCTTTTTTTTAAAAATCAAAATATAATACATTAATCTCCCAAGCAGTTTCAATATTGAAACAAATATTGCATCTTTCAAAATTAAATGAAAAGCTTTCTTAAAGAGTTTGTGCACTTACAGAGCTATTGGTAATTTAATTTAGTAGAACACCGATCAAATGTATCAATTAATTATTTTAAAAAGGTTTTAGGAGTTAGGTTTTGATTTGACTAATATTTACAGGTGTCAGTTTATTTTGACACGATTTGATTGTTTTGATTAAACTCTAGATATTATTTTATAATTTTTTTGCAGGTCAAGGAGCCGAAATTAATGCTCCCGACAAAAACGGATGGACGCCACTGCACTGTGCCGCTAGAGCTGGCTGCTTTGAAGTGGTAAAGCTTCTGGTGGAATCAGGAGCTTCTCCAAAATCGGAAACAAACCTAGGAGCTGTTCCTATATGGTTTGCAGCTTCTGAAGGGCATCACGCTGTCCTAGAGTATCTGATGACCAAGGAGCACGACACTTATGCACTAATGGAGGATAGAAGGTCAGTAAAAGAATCATTAAAGCAAGTGGGTTTGATTTTGTTTTCGTGACTTAGATTCGTGTATAACTTGATGGTGTGTTCGAAAAACCACAACAACAAACCCATCGAGGAATTCATTTTGGTCTCACCGGCACCTGTCGATACAGCTGCTAAATTGTCCAATATCCTTATAGTCCTTTCAAACAAAGAAAAAGAGAGAGCTAAGGATCTCATAGCCGCGGGAAAGTTCTGTGAAGCTATGGCGACCGAACTTCTAGCCTTGGCAGCAGGCGCTGATTCTGCAGGGAAGATCCTTACAGCTACTGACAGGAGAAATGTGGAATTTTTGGATGTCTTAATAGAAAACGAACAAAAGGAGGTCATAGCGCATACCGTTGTTCAGCGCTATCTACAGGTAAAGAGTAGGTAATTGTGATTATTTAAGAAAAAGTAGATGGCTTCAGAGGTATAGAAAATTAATGGGAAAGTAATTTATCTCCCCTTAATATACTTTTTCATATTTCAGGAACTCTGGAGAGGGGCCCTCAACTGGACGGCGTGGCGCACGCTGCTTCTGTTCGTGTTTTTCATAATCTGTCCCCCTGTTTGGATAGCCTTTACCCTTCCTCTAGGCCACAAGTACTACAAGGTGCCTATCATCAAATTCATGTCGTATCTCACTTCACACATTTACCTCATGGTCTTCCTGCTGATAGTGGGTATCACGCCGCCTTACCCAGTGGTTAGAAGAGGCCTCTTCCCCGTCTGGTACGAATGGATCTTGCTGATATGGCTGAGCGGTCTCTTGCTGTTCGAACTGACCAATCCCAGTGACAAATCCGGTCTGGGCTGGATCAAGCTGTCCGTACTTCTCTTTAGCATATTGGGTGTAGGTGTACACTTGCTGGGAATTTTATTTATCAAAACCAAAGACTGGCCTACCCTGATGTACTGCAGGAACCAACTGTTCGCCTTGAGCTTCGTCCTAGCTTGTGTACAGATCCTGGACTTTTTATCCTTCCACCACCTGTTTGGGCCATGGGCCATCATTATCGGTAATTTAATGAAAGACCTAGCTAGGTTTTTAGCGGTGTTAGCGATCTTCGTGTTCGGGTTTTCGATGCAGTTCGTTGCCTTGAATCAACCCTTTCATGAATTATCTTCCCTCGAAGTAAAGATGATTAATAATCCAAGAGGCAGTGGAGTTCTTGAACACGAGTATTTCAGTGATGGTGAGTAATGGCTTTTATTCTGTTGTAGATTGTAACGTTTTTATCTCCATGTAGACAGGATATTTTAATTTGGTATACTTGAACTTATATTAAATTTTAAGCAATATTGATAAAAAGTTATACCAAGTTGGAATACTTTAAGATATTCGTTTTACTCTTAATATATTCCATAGAGATAATATGCTACCATTTTTCTCTTTCCATTTTTAAAAGGATTCTGCAGATTTACAGCTTGAACTGCTTACCTACATACCTTCGAAAATAATTGCTTTTGTCATACTACATGTAATACAGCTTTTTTATTCTACTATACTAAATCTATATCTTATAACCGGCGCTGTATATAGCATATTATATTCTATAACTCGCTTGACTTACTTGAATTCTCTAAGTTTCTACAAATATCTCGATTTTGGAGACAATTCTATTTGACCGAAATATTTTATTCCTTATTTTTCGAGGTGATCTCAGATATTATTTTTAAAGTTTAAAACTCAAAACCAAATAAAGTGCAGAACTGAAATCACATTTCTGTTCAAAGTCGTTTTTACAAGTCTGCCATCATCAAAAACGAAGGTTAAAATGTTCTTTGTTCAATTAGAAATTGCCTTTATTTCGAGATAGTTTGTTCTTCTATTTAAAACTATGCGCACGCGTTGTACAATGTACATAAATAATACAACACCCAACTTTCCACCTACCACCTCTTGTACTATACCTTCTTTTCCACGAAAATAGAACGCGACCCATTCCTAGATGACGCGGAGTGGATAGAGGACCTGACCACGGCCGATCCACTACCCAGGGCCGGCCTAAGGAAAAAGCGGCGGCCTATTTCTGGGAGTAAGTCCCTAAGTGTGGGCTTTATCTGTGGCTCTGTCTGTTGTTTGTCTTAAACCGTTTAAGGCGTCTGTGTATAGTATTATTCTTCCCAAAGGTGTATAGTTGCATTTTAGGTACTCCTGCTGGCTTACTGTCTGTTGTCTCCCCTGTAGAGACGTCCAGGTGTTTTGTGTACGTTTGTCTTTCTGATTTATTCGTTTTCTGTTCTCTGTGTGCTGCATGCGACCCAGAAGTATATGCCAAGGCGTAATATAAAGCAAATCCGTCAATTTTAATTTTTTAATATCAATGTCTCAATGAAATTCACTGGCTGGCGCTTGGCATATGTTTCGCGGTCGTGTCTGCGTCAGTGGCATGCGGTGTAAATGCTCGGCAAGGCTTTAGGCCGTAGCCGCCAGGGGTGATATTGACTAGCCTCATGTTCCCAGTGAAAATGAATCCAATAACTGCGTTCGAGCTGCTTTTTTTCGGCGTGTTCGGCCAAACGACCTACGACGAGTTGATAGTGAAGAGCCCGAAGGGCTTCCCGGCCGTCAAGCCCGCGTGGACGGCCAACCTCTTCAAAGTGGTATTCGGCATCTACATGCTGGTGTCGGTGGTCGTTCTCATAAATCTTCTAATTGCCATGATGTCGGACACTTATCAACGTATCCAGGTAATTGCTTTGTTTATGATTCCAGTCAAAAAGAACCCGATCAGTGCTTTTGAGCTGCTGTTTTTCGCGGTTTTCGGCCAAACCACCACTGACCACCTGAAAACCAACAACTACCAACAATCCAACGCAAATGTGGAAAATCGTAATAATCAGCCCCCGTGGACGGAGGTGCTTTTTAAGTGCGTTTTCGGAGTTTACATGTTGGTCTCTGTCGTTGTGCTGATCAATCTGCTCATTGCTATGATGACCGATACCTACCAGCGTATCCAGGTAACGGCTAGGTAGCTCACGCTGCCCCACGCTTTTTAGTACGACGACTATGGACTTCCCGGGGCCTAGAGTTTTTTCCTAGAGCGTAGACAGAATTCGATGAATACAAAATTCTTGACAAACTCCAATGGCGTACCAATTTAATACAACATAAAATACATTTACCTAATAAATGATTCCAACGCCTTATTATTTTTTTTAATATTATCAAAATTCGTTCTCGCAATTTTCTACAAAAGAAGAACCTAACTCATTATACCTCTAAAGCAAACCTATATACACCCTTGTATCATATGCAGAATTGATCAAAAAAAAAAACACCCATAATTTTCAAGTTACTGCAATAATGTTTTAGATTTAGATTTAAATAACAAACATTTGGTACATTTGTATTTGACTTTTATCATATACATAGGAGTCATTATTGTATTGTAAATATTTAATAAAAATTACTACGCCACTGGAGGATGTGTCTCAGTTTCATAAATTGTTCGTTATATCTTCTTAAAAAAATTTTGTCCACCCTCAATTTTTCATGGCTCTTCATTACAAAGACATTGATCTTCAATGCCACGTCACTTCTTCATTCGCTTATCTCTCCTCTTCCAGTTAAGTCTTTACCTTCTCTTCGTAGTTTAGAAAAATGTGTATTATTTTAAATAAATACCTAGTCGCTTTGATTTCGTTTATTCGAAGCATAAAGTTTTCAATTTGATGATTTTTTTATTGAGACAGAAGCCCACCACCACATTTAACATTTAATATACTTAAACATTTTTAACATAAACAACAATAAATTAAATATGTTTTAGCGTAATCTGTTAGTTAAAAGTTAATATAAAATCGAGAGGTATTGTCAAAAACTTTTTTTTTTAAACCACTATTTTTTCTTTGATCAAATAATAAGAACAATTAGGAATAACAGAATAAGTGCAAAAATAAAGGAAAATTGAATGCATACAAATGTATGCATTGATAAAATAACAAGAGTAGTGAAGACGAAATGTATTGAGAAGAAGCAAGACTATAAGTTAAAATATAATTTAGAAAACAATGGAATTATCGAAAAGGTTTAATTAAAAACAAGATTATACTCTTAAGAAGTGATCACGAATTATAAAATGTTTATAATACAATTATCACTATGGATACCAAGGTTTCTCCAGGCAGATCAGCAAACACCATTACTGAAGAAGATCTGGGTATTGTCCACTAGATGTTCTTAAAGAAGGATGAAAATATGTGAAATATAAGAAAAGGTCCTCTATACCAGTGACGACCAACGTTTCCGTATGAATTACCTACTATTAGAACTGGTGTATATCTAAGAGAAAAATTGATATCTCCAAACAGACGTACTAAAACAGGAGTCCACAAAAATGATCGTGCTATATCGCGGAAACCTTAGACTAAGACAATATTAAGTCAATAATATATTCATTCCCCAAAATTTTCCGACTGAGCGATTTCACTATGAGTTTGTATTTTCCACGCAGTGCCTCGTAATCTAACTATCCCCACCTACAGAACCATCCAAACCACTGACAATAACCAACCGTCCTGGACCAAGGCACCTATAACTGGCGCTTATGCAGTATACCAGTTGGTTTACGCCATCGTCATGACAAAACTGCTTATCGCTATGATGTCTGAGACTTTCCACCGTTTCCAGGTAATAGATGGATAGATGGGTGTCGTGTTAGATATTGCACTTACTATGCTTTTGCGTCTAGATGGCTCTTCATGCCTTGAATCCCGTTAGTTTCCGTTAATTTTAAAAGCAGGTCGCGGTTTGTTGAAATTCTTGTGAGGCAGCGGTCTGCCATTATTCGAAGCCAATTAGAAACAAACTTACCTTGTAAAAACCTAGATTTATATATTACTAGCTTTTACCCGCGGCTTCGATCGCAGAGTGATAGAAAATCTTTCGTAAAAAATATTTTTTTTAATAAAAAGTATCCTATGTTACTTCTAATACCTCCAAGAATATGTGTACAAAGTTTCATGATAATCGGTTAAGTAGTTCTCGCGTGAAAGAGTAACAAACAAACTTACATTCACATTTATAATATTAGTAGGGATTTGATACGCGTTTAAGGGAAAATAGCAATAATTTTGAAGACCAATATAAATTTGGAGAAACACTGGACCGAGAGTGGATCCTTGCGGAATAAGTTTTAGTGAATGGGAAAAGACATAGTATGGACTGATTAAGTTTGTAACTGAAGAAATAATTCATCTGAAACTAAAATATACCTACTCACAAACTAAGAACAACACTTATTAATTTTCCTTTATTTTTGCTGGTTCTGTATTAGATGTCTCACAAAAATTTCATCAAAATCAGCTAGTCACAAAATATAAGAAAGTTATTTACTACATTGTTATATCAATGTCTTTTAAATTTAATTATGCAGTCATGAAGAGCCTGATGTGAAACATCATTACATCTGTATGTTAAAATTGTAAATGGCAACTATAGCAATGCTTAAGGCATAAATGTGATTGGTATATATTTTTATTGCATTTTCTATTATTTTTGTTAATCTTGTATTAAATTGAATGATAAAACCTGCGTTCTATTTTTTTTTAATAATTCAATTTCCATTCGGCGATAAAATTGTTTGTATCAAAGTTTTTATGGCATTCTTTGTAATTTTTTTAATGTAACAAGAAATACATTGGATGGAATAATTCTGATATATGTAATTAATTTTAATTATAAAATTTTATTCTCTCTAATCAGTTTATGCCTTAGCTGTAAACTACAGAAATGCGTATCATAGTCCATGTTGTCGTACTCACGCCTGTCACCTCGCTGTCGCTCACCAGTTCCTTTGGGCTGGGTCATTGTAGCAATTAAAACACTCTTAAGTAGACGTTCCTCGATAGTAAACACATTTTCAATACTGATTTTAGTCCCGTATCGGTTGTTCAGCAGTTACCAAACCGAAAACTCCTGAAATTAAGATCTGGTCAGTCAGGTGGCCGTTCTGAAAGGCAAAATGTTTTACTAAAAGCATATGTTTTTAATAACTTTCCCATTTTGGTAACTTCTGAATAGTGTTTACAAGTAATATCGTAGCAGTCAATGGCAGTTTGGTAGGCTCATAACCGATAGCTGTTAGATAGAGACAGAACGCGTTGGTAGTGCTTATAATAGAAACACAGCAGCTACATTTATATACCTCCTATATACATACAATAGCTATCATAATAATATGTTTTGGCCACGAAGTTTTTGCAATTAGTTTATTTTTTCCCACATATATTTTTGGACATTGCAATTTTTGCATTTGTATTTTTTGTTACCACACCCCTTTTTTGATATTTTTAATTTTCACAGGCATATTTTTATACATGAAGTAATGATGAAGATGCGTTTCGTAAGAACGAAAACTAACTTCTTGAGCAGATATCGTTAAATTAATAAAAAAATTATAGTTTTTAATTCAAAACATGCTTCAAATGATTAAGTCAATCAAATTCAAATGGTATTATGCGGGTGTCCGTAGTATAAGTCGATGTAGGTTCTAAGTTTATCCATTTAGAAAGAAATGGAAAGGAAAGAAAGGAATCATAAATATATTTTTCCTTTTGACTTGTCCTAAATTCTGGAAAGAAGTAGAGCGTTTGCAAAAACAGAAACAGATTAAATAAAATTGAGAAACGAAATGAAGCTGAGAAATTTATGTTGAAAGGCAAAGATTATGAAAATTTCCTTATTTATCTACAGGGTGTCCCATTTTAATCGATCACCCTGAATAACTGCAGGATTCGAATTGAATAACTTCCAGAACAACAGTTGTAAGGTCAAACTTAGGGGTCAACTTCAGAATTTCAAATAGAAACACCATTTGTTTTATCCAGAAATGGAAAGAGTAGAAGGTAAAAATCAGCTTTTCCGCTAAAATATTTACATTTTATGGCAAAGGTTGAATGGTTTTGTGGCAAATTCCGTACAAACTACCGTGATCATGATTTGTGGTCTAATTGTGACTCTGATCTTGAGACCAAATTTAGGAGTCATTTTACTTTTGATTGACGGTTTAATTACAAATAATATACTTTTTTAACTTGACAATCTAGATCAAGATCACGATCAACATTGGACTGGGTGCCTCATTAACCTGGAAAGCTTCGGCATAAAAAATGAATATCTATATTCAAAAAACTAAAATCGCTGAAGTACTCCTAAAGTTCCATTAGCGATATTGAGGGTCTCATATCTATCCTTATAAGAGTTTATTACTGTTGTGCTCATTTAGTGTAAATAATAACATTGTCAGTATCTTGCTTCATAAAACTTGCATTCTGCTTCCTTATACAGGGTCTCGCGCTTAAATATGATACATAGCCTGTAACTTCTTTATTTTTTGGCCGATTTCAAAAATTTTTATTCGGGAATGTAGGGTAAAAAAACTCTATCTAACCGTGATACTGCTGTTCTTATTAATGCAATTCATGGCCAACTAGGACGTGTTTTATTGACATCAAAACAGTTAATTGGTATTAGCAATTTTTTTTCCAAAGAACTGATTATTATCCCTTAAAACGTCTTACCACCAAGTTTCATCAAATTCGATACATCTTCAGACGACCACTCCATAATGTCGCGAAATGTAATGCAAGCCTGTAACTTTTTTATTTTTTGGCCGATTTAAAAATTTTTTATTTTGGAATGTAGGCTAAACAAACTCTATCTAACTGTAATACTGCTATGTTTTAGTAATGCAATACATAGCCAACTAGTGCTCGTCTGAAGATGTATCGAATTTGATGAAACTTGGTGACAAGACATTTTAAGGGATGCTGAATGAGAATACGTAATCTTTCTTTTGGAAAAAAAAAATCGCTATTATCAATTGCGCTGTTTTGACGTCAAAAAACGCGTTCTAGTTGGCCGTGAATCGCATTAACAAAAACAGCAGTATTACGGTTAGATAGTTTTTTTTTAACCTACATTCTAAATACTTTTTTTTTGAAATCGCTCAAAAAATAAAGAAGCTACAGTTTTGTATCACTTTTAAGCGCGACACCCTGTATATGTATAATAGTTAATGATATTCACGTTTGGTAAATATAATGTAAATAAATAACATAAACACAAAAAATTGTTCATTAGTAATACCAGTATAAACAGTAAATACTGATAATTACTTAATCATCTGACAACTGGAAACGTTTACAAAAATCTAACACTTCAACTAGTGCCAATCAACAATTTGTGGAGAGAGCGAGTTTTGGGAAACAATATCAACAACAGAAAATGAGTCACAAATGAGTATCGTTCGTACAGATGACACACATGCTATGTTACCGAATTGTTAGATTTCAGTTACTTATAACTATAAACATCACAAATGAAAACTTATGATATCTTTGCATAAAATAAGTTGATGTTTGGAGAAATAAATTATTACATAATCAGTTATTACCGTAATTTATTTTATTTTCTACAATTTGGTAAGTAAAGGTAAACTGTCTTTTTTTCTCGAAAACTGTTAAGATTAGGACCCATACTCTATAGAACATATACCTATATTCATTTCCATACTAGGTACTAAGTACATACAGAAAATCCAAGGGCATATTTTCTGGCTAAAATATGTATTTTAAAAAATCAAACAAGTAAATATTTTGATATAGCATAATAGTACCTTAGTATGCTACATTTTATTTTATAAGTTATGCTATCGTATGCTATAAGTAACGAGAGAAATAAATAGTGAATTCTTTTTTGTTTGTCATTTTGACGAGCAATTCGTAAGTAATTTCAATTTAAGTAATTTAAGTTTTTTAAAATTATAAGTTCAGTTTTTAACTATTATCATGGTCACTGGCTCATATGCCGACATAGCTAATATAGGTACAACAAGTTCAAGACATACTGCCACCAGATTACTTCATTTACTTACAATTTTGCCATTGGATTTTGTAGAGGATTGTACAAAATATTAGTTTACTGATGATACTTAATCAAGAGATTCTATAATTAATTTCTATAATAATCACGATTGATTCGAAACCCTCACGTCAGAATCCTGGTTTCAGTATCTGTGATGGACATTATTGATAATTTTTTATTTGGCCTCATTTTTTACTAGAAACCTTTACTGGAGATTTGTACCGATATTTTTTTGAAAACATTTTGCTAACAAAAGCTTAGCTTTAGTCCTCAAACAGCGAATGTGGTTCATGCACCCACCTAGAACACCAGAATTACATGCCATAGATTTTTTGTTTGAGGGCACCTCAAAGCAGTAGTTTACAAAGTTCCTATTATAAATGAAGCGCAAATACAGCAATTAATTATAGATGGTTGTGATATACCATAAATTATGTTAAATATGTTAAAATATGCCACCCTTGGCATATTTTAACATAATCGAGTTTCAACAAAAGAAAATCTGAAGCGTCTATTTTGTCTAAAAGTGACCATATCCAAATTATTATAAGCGTATTGACAATTGTTTCACTCGTTGTTCTTAACATACTAATAAAATAATATAGTAACAATACACTTATTAAAATAATTAATTTTGTCCCAATGGATATGAAAACGAATTTTGTTTGTAATATTACAGAGGATGAAATAATATTTTTGTACCTAGGACATATTCGTATACTATCACTTATACTGCGAACACCCTATTGGAAAAAAATTCCACCATTTAGAGAACAAAATCTTTGCCTAGGAAGTTCAAGATCTTTTCCAAAACATTTACTTGCATTGAACCTAACATAAAACCTTTTCCTTAGGCTCAATCCGATATAGAATGGAAGTTTGGTCTCAGTAAACTCATCCGCAACATGCACAGAACGACAACCGCCCCATCCCCGATCAATCTGATAACGACTTGGCTCTTCTATTTGGTAGACATCTGCAAGAAACGAGGTAAGTAATCGCCCATCCGCTTAGCAGTAGACCTCTAATAAACACGAGGCAAACAGATTTTGTTTTAGTTAAATCAAGAAAGAGACAGAGCCTCGTCCATCTCATGGGCAGCTTCCAGAGGACAGCGCAGCTCAGTCCGAGGTCAAAAGCTGGGGCTAAATGGTTGTCCAAAGTCAAGAAAGGTAGGCAGGTCGCCCCTAAGGAGTCTGTGGCTTTGTCTATAGGCCATATGAGCCCCCTAGGGTCTCAACTAAGCTTTACAGCGCAAACCACGAGGATAGAGCACGTGACTGACTGGGAGGCTATAGCGAAGAAGTACAGGGCTCTCATGGGGGAAGTCGATGAGGTGAAGGAACAGACTAGTGAAGACAATGAAGACGAGGACGATGATGCTCCGTCTTCGGTCCCTGTGCCTACGCAAAATATGTCGTCTTCATTCGGATAAGGATCTTAGGGTTCTTGATATTTTCTATTTATTAAAAAGGCACGTAACTCAAGTAAATATGATGACGACATTTATATCCTTTCAAATCATGGATGAGAAGAAGGGAGTTCTTGTTTACCCTAGATCTAAAAGAAGAAACTGACATTTGATTATATAAGTACAGCAAGAAGAACATTAAAATTACAAATCTTTACCAGTTTTTCTTTTTAAATATACGAAAGTTACTTCAGAATCAAATTTTGTCATATAAAAACAATGTGTATTTTTAACATAATTTTTAATACATATATAAATCATCCCTATAAATGCCAAATTCTGGAGGCATTTGAAGAAATTGAGTGTTGCAAATTCGATATAATCAGGTAAATGCATACATATCATACTTAAAGCTATAAATTCTAAATAATTTTTATATCTCTAACATTTTCGACTTAATAATCGTATAATTAGTGCAAGTATGTCATATTGGATTAGAATTTTAAGGGAAATTTCTATATATATACGTTTGCAAATTTTATAAGGAGTATGCAATATAAAATTTACTATATATGTAATAAAAAATAATCTTAACATATAGATAGGTAACAGTCATTTTGATATTTGGATTATATACTTGGATATTTACGTAATATCATGCACAGATGGGTTTCTTTTGTATATAGTAGTGCTTCAACTTTTACCGAATATAGGGATGTATTTATTTTTTAAATAAATAGTTTTTTCATAATTATGAGATTTATTTTCCTATTACACTAGTACAGATTTATTCCCAATCTTAGATTTATCGTGTTAAGGCTTTTTACTTACTAGCAACAAAATAAAGCAAGTACACTGAAAGAAATGGGCTTATTAAACTGTTTATCTAGAATAATGTGTATAGCGCATATTAAAACTTTTATAACCAATATACGACTTTTATTAAAAAAAAGCAATCATCTCCATACTCATTATTCAATCAGTTTAACTGGAAGGTGCTTAATACATCTTATGCATCTATGAAATAAAGGTTATAATGAATTACTTATACATTATTAGGTGTTATAGACTTTATATTCCAATTGTATAGTAGGGAAGATTTGTTGTATAAAGACCAGTATCCGAATTTGTATATAACAATTGTATTAACAGAATTATTCGTTCTTATACTGAATATGTTTCCGTTTTTAACGTGTAAAACGCATCTTATAATGGTTAAGTGATCGTCACCTCTCGGTGCATAATCGGTTATGATCGTTGTTAAGTTATATTCATAGTCTTGTAATAATAATCATATGTCAGACCCGAGAGCGAAGTGCGCCGACTCAATAAGAAACCTGGCTATTCCAGCCGCTGATTTAGGGTTCGCCGCACGAGCTCATCCCTTCTAAGATTTCAGTAGCATGCTATGCATGAAGCAGAACGGTACTCAACTATCTTATACAGTCCACTTTTATTGTCCATACATGTTCAATCATTGTCAAAATAAACACACAAAACCACAACGTCTTTATTATCTTTACTCAAGAAGAGAAAATACAACAATCGTAAAATTTCCGACAGTCCGCTGTGCATCGACTTACACACGTCTAGTTTGATGAAAATGGACAGTATATGCACATGTTTTGTGGGATACATGATCATATCGCGTTGTGTGAAATGGAAAATTATTATGTAAGTATCTAACTGTTTTATGGCTTGTAATTGTTTTGTTTTTTCAAATGTAAATCTTGTCTAAATCTTAAAAATTATTATTTTGTAGGTCCTATTAGAAATCGCTGATGTTAAGTTTTACATAAGATGGAGGAACAGAAGGTTAACGGTGACAAAGAAGAGCATGGGTATAAAGTCAATCAACCAGAGGAAATAAAATTATATGGAAAGAAGCTCAACCTTTCTGGGGATGCTTCATTCTTAAGGTGGAAGAGTTATAGTGCAAATTCTCATGTAATACAAGAAAATACGGGTGCATCGTTGCTAAGAAAATAAACTGGACAGTTTTGGGAGCGATTTGTCATCATTTTTAATGCTTAAAAGTATGTTTTATGTATGTTTACATTAGAACCTTAGCTTGTAATTACAGTTATCCAATAAAATTTCTGAAAACTTAATGACATATGTTTTTAACTCATACAGAGTATACAACAGTTTAATACATTTATTATTATAAAACTTATAACCAGTACTAGATGTTCTAATAACGATATGGAACACTTTAATAACAGTTATTGCTATTATTTCGTAAAGGGTATAAAAAACGTTGTATACTAGTTATACAATAATTTAATAAAGAATAAGGTTTATAGTCACTATACAACTGTGCTAGCAATACGCGTTTTATATCCAATATTCACCTGTTTAACCGTCACATATAGTATACAATGGTCTTATAATGGTATATAAAATTCTAATAAAGAATAAAACGCATTTCTTTCAGTGTATAATTATTCTCTAACATTTCTACTAAAGCAAATTTCTATTATTTTTCAGAAGTGCTTCCGTGTTCCAGAAATGGTTTTACTGGATTTGTTCTTGTGGCACAAATCCCAGTGACGTTCCTGTCAACTTCTTCTTCTCTCAAGTCAAGTGTCTTAGGGCATAGGTTTATCACAAAATATGTCCAGGAACTGCATAGTTTACAATGAAATTTTCCATCATTTATCCATTCAGCGAAATATTCAATGCTGCTGGCGTGACTGCAGAAAACTGAAAATTCCACATAAATGATTACATTTCGTTGCGTATACACAATTTTATTTCAATATAGTTGTATTATTCTTATGTGATGAGTACAAGGTGCGGGAAAAGTTCAGTTAAAGTTAAAAATCGCTCCAATTTCTAAACGAAATTATTTTTCATAAATTGTGTGTGGTCTTTTAAATGTGCCATTACGTCTGAAACAAGACCCTGTGCTTTTCAAATCCCATGATTAAAAAAACGGCAATATATTTTGACCACCTCGATCACCCGATATAAGTGTTCCAGATCCTTTCATATCATATTGTCCTGCTTCATTCGTACGCCCTCTATATACATAACAGCTACTTACATTTTTCTACAAGTCCTCCAAAAGAGTTAACGTTAAAATCGATTGAGCAGCCTGGCTGCGGCGCTCTGCCATTGTTGACGTATATGTCTACTGTTCCTAATGGAAAAGCTATGCCATAAACCCCTGAAAATAAATAAATAAAAATTTTATTGGATATCTGGTAAGTGTCCACTAAGGGAAGATCAAGATGCTATGATTTTATTTTTTTGCTAATGTTCCTCCTAACGGAAATATCGAGTCCCAAAAGAGTACCTAGAGATTTACATCCCAGGATTAGATGTTACAACCGGTTTCCTACTATTACAAAATGTTCTGAAAAAGATTAGCACCCACATATTTTTATTCAAAATTTCATGACATGCTGTTAGACTGAAAAAAAAGAGAGTTAAAAAGAATGGTTTTCAAGATAAACCAGTTTTTGAAACGGGCCCCAACCGCTAGATTTTTTTTTCAATTTGTTGTCATGTATTTATCTAGTTTATTTAATTTTGCCAAAGTTCAAAATCTTTTGAAATGGTTGATCATAGCTTCATAGCTTCAAGAAAAAGATGATACATTAAAAATAACCTATTACACGATAACACAAATTGAGGAAAATGTATAAACATATTAGATTAGGAAGCAAAATTACACAGTATTAGTGTTATCTTGACCTTCCCCCCTTTGTTCCCGAGAAATTAATAGATATACAGGCTGCTACAAATTCGTTTCTCACTACAGGAATCTCGAAAACGGTAAGAGATACAAACTAGCTTAAATGGAAGCAAAGTTGCGTAATCAGAGGACCAATATTATGCCTCTAAAAGATCAAGTCTAACATCAAAATATTTGAAAAAAACCGAAATTTTGTATATCCGTTGTTGTTTCATTTCAGCCTTGTTTGAGATGATATTAAAAAAAGAAGAACACTTTCTCATGGCCACTTTTTGCCCTCTATCGAATGGTATAATCAATTTTTATATGTAACATTTCGTCTTTCCAGGACCATCATCAACTTCATTCTTTTAAATACGACCCTGGAAATTTTATTACATTTTTTGCAAGCCTCCGTGACCCCCAATACTGTACTGCCTCAGCTCGAACCAGATTCAGACGTTTTGTTTGAAAACTTCATCTTCAGTGTATTCATTCCAAATGTATCTAAACTTTTTATTTAGATTTCTTTGTTTATTGAATTATCGTATGTACACTGTAAATGTCGTTAGACCCTGTGTTATTTAAACTATTACCACCACGTATTAAAATAAAACATTATTAGAGTTTTATTCCCGTGCCCATAGTTATTTCTAAGGCATCTCGAGTGCTCAAAATTCAAACAAATTCCAATCTATTTTTTTCAGGATATTCATACAAATACATCTGATATGCTCTTTCACAGTTGCGGTTACAGATATAATAAATTCCGATAATATTACGCTACAGCCTTTGTCAAAACGAAAATGTTTTTCAACATTTGCTAAAATTTTTTAAAGAATAATATTCAGTTAGCATTTTGATTGTTCATATGCATTTTTAAGAATTAATCTGTCATAATAAAATTAAAATTGTAATAATGTTTTAATTTTGATGCAATAACTTATTGAGTTATGTATGACCAAGAGATGGTAATAGTTAGTAATAATAAATGTTTTATTGTAACGCGTGGTAATAATAGTTTAAATAACTAGATGGATTTCACACGGTCTAACGACACTTACAGTGTACGATAATTCAATAAACAAAGAAATTTAAATAAAAAATTTAGATAAATTTGGAACGAATACACTGAACATGAATTTTTCGAGACAAAACGTCTGAATCTGGTTCGGGCTGAAGCAGTATAGTCACAAAGGCATGCAAAAAATGTTATAAAATTTCCAGTCATAGGTATTTAAAAAATGAAGTTGATGGTCCTGGAGAGACGAAACGTTACATATAAAAATTGATTATGTTATTCGATAGAGGGCAGAAAGTGGCCATGAGAAAGTGTTCATCTTTTTTCAATATCACCTCAAACAAGGCTGTTTTTTTCAAATGTTTCGAAAACTAATCATGTTAACCTTGATTTTTTAGAGGCATAATATTGGTTCCCTGATTACGCAATTTTGACCCCATTTAAACTACTTCGTACCTCTTACCGCTTCCAAGATCCCTGTAGTGAGCAGCGAATTTCTAACAGCCTGTATATCGGACACACAGTATACATTTTGCCATCTACAATATACAAGAAAAACATCTTTTTTACCTCCATCGGTGTGCATGACATCGACAACATCGGCGTCTTTCTTATGCAATCTTTCCTGTTTATCTAGAATATGTTCCTGAAAGTAGGGACCAGCAGGATCTAAGCCAGAAATTCGTGAAACTTTAGAATTAGTTGTCTGGTATATTTGCTTCGCAGCAAATCCAGCAATATGGGCCCCTAAAGAATGACCCACCATATGAATGTTTTGTGGTGGAATTTTAGCATTGGTAACGAATTTGGCGATGTTCATACCTGAAATATATTGCATGCTTATTATAACAGTGATATGCATTTGTATATACAAGGCAATTTATTATCATATAGGAAAAATAAAATTAATGGATATCCTCGCCGAGAGATATTCATAAGTGTAAAAAGTAATGTTAACTATGGGTAGTTCATAGTTCATCCATGAATATCACCTACTTAGGGCCACATGAAATAACCACTTTTAGTAAAACTGTTTGAAGGTTTACCCATTACTTTCGAGAAACAGTTCTAATCACCGAATCAATATCGGTAAATGATACGATCCTATTAATCTGTTTTTGTCTAGTCCTGCTCAAAAGTTTATCGAAAATCTGTGTAGTGTGGATCGTCTTGGTGTCAAAAGCTTTGTAAAGACAGCCTCGTCGTTCAAGGACTATTTCATAAAACACAAACTGCGATTTTACCGGAACACTTCAACGCCTAATACCTAATCACAAATTTCCTGTCAACATCTTAATCTACAACTTTTTTAACAAGATAGAAGTAATAATGAAAGCCATTTTTACGAAAGATTCTTCACATGATCAGATTTTGTGATAACCAAAACTGAGGAGCAATTTCTCGGATATCCAAGAATTTTTCTTCTAATAAATGTAGAACTCTCCCAATTGTAACATGTCTATTGTACCACTGTTGTTCCTCGGACTAATAAAACAGATACTGTAGCACGAAGTGTAAGAAGAGGAGTAAGAGTTTCCATTGTTACATCTTTACACCAATGAATGTGTGATGAACAGGAAAACAGAATTAATAAGTTCGGACTGCTCCGAAATTTTACAAGCGATCTTTTGCACTAAAATACCTTTATAGCTGTTTTCTTTTACTCATGATTTCGGAATCATAACGCGTTACGATCCGAAATCTAGCAATCTAATAGGTTTCCAGCGGATAGTAACACGTTATGATTCCGAAATCATAAGTAAAAAAAGGGCTAATATTGCTGCGTTCGATTAAATCGTAGTTCTTATATTTTATACCCTTCTTACCAATAAATTTGGCATTGGCGGCGGAGGAGACATACGCAGACCTAGCTGGCTTTTCCCAGTCTACTTGAACAACGTTGTAGTCACCATTTTTAAGAAACTCCTCAGTTATAACTTTGTACCAAGATCGTCTCATATTGGCTATCCACCCGTGTATGATGATCTTAGTAGGTTTATCTAAATCAATATTAGTTTCATTTGTTACTATTTTGCCTTCTCTCAAAGATCGGGTGAGAAGGAGGTACGTCACTTCGTCATCTTTAACACATTCTAATCCCGGACGAGACGCATCTTGAGCTAACTGCAGTAACTCACTGAAGTTCAGATCTTTAATATCTTCTGAGAGGGCTGAAACAATGAATTAGTTGATTTACGTCTGAGAGAAAATAGTAGTCAGCACCATTGTAAATTTTTGTAGCAATACTTACCTAAGCCTACAAAAATTGACAAAATAAATAAACAAGAATAATAAGCCATTTTAGTCCGCTAACTTCTTCACTTGTCGAAATGTCTACTTACTATGTTATGCATTTGTTACAAAAAATTGTTTTTGTTTATTGTTCTGTGAATTACATTAAACGGTATTCTCGAAATTGTTTTTAATATTATGAAATTAATTTTAATGATATTTTTAAACTGTTATTGCCGGTAGCATTACCATTAAATTAAATTTTTCGCTATTAAATAAATTTATAAACAATTTTGATAAACGTTATCGTAAACGATTAATAACATGCTAACAACAATTTCACATTAATTTCTAATGCCGCATCAAGACAAAGTCTGCAAAATTTTTTGATGTGTTTATTGATAGTTAAATAATGAGTCAGTGTTAACGTCACAGTAGGTACTTAAAAAAATGCGCATTTATTAAATAGACCGATTGTATGAGGTCCAAAAGACAAAACTATGGTATCTATATATTTTTGAGATCGCTGAATCCGAATCCGGTGTCCGTTTGACTCGATTAACTTGAAGTTGAGGTCAGTTCAATGTCAAATATAGAGATTGAATTGCCAAAAAAGTAAACCTGCATATTTATACGTTTTTGGGATCGCTGAATCCGAATCTGTTGTCCGTTTGATCCTATTCGCTCTGAGTTAAGGTCAGTTCAAGGTCAAATGCAGATATATAGATATATTGGTTTACTTTGTTTTTAACTGATTCTTTACATTTGACCTTGAACTGACTTTAACCCAAAGCTAATCGGGTCAAACGGACCCCGGATTCGGATTCAGGGACACCAAAAACGTATGGACACCATGATCTTGACTCTCAGACCTCCCACTTTTTTGTGGGGCTGTGTAATTAATGTTCAATATATATTTGCACAGTTTATTTCATCCAAGGTATTTTAATTTCTTAAACTACAATCAGGGTCATTTTTAATGTTACATAACTTAGAACACAAGGATAATACAGAAGACAGATTTGAAATAATTTAATAAATTATCAAATATATATTATAGTAGTACCCAAACCAATATAAATTGAGCAATCCTGAGTTATATAGACAATAAATTAAAACTAATTTCACTTCACGCTGTTCTGTCTAATATATTTTGTTCCACTTTCAAAAACGGATGTGCAGCATTGGTTTCAAAATAATACACCCCTCTAGCAGATTTTTCAACATGATGACCAAAAGTAACTTCCCTTGATTCTTCTTTTACTCTTACTGTAACTTCATAATCTTTTTCTTCGTAGACTGCCTCCCAAGCTTTCGATTTTGTTAACAAAGATTCAATAAAGTAATGAGTCGATCTAGCATGTGAACAATTAACTAAAAACAGAAACAATGATCATAATAATAGTAAATATTGTTTTAGTTTATAGTTTTTAAAGTATTTAAACCAAATATATGTTATGTTGGAGCTGTGTGTTATAGTTTTTTTTATTACCTTCTTCTTCTGATGCCTTGTCTCTTCGGGGACATCCAATTTGATGTTTACCCTCGTTCGGATAGAAGTCTACATGTCCTATTGGGGCGGTGAATCCATAGAGTTGTATATCGGTGTGGATGACATCAACCAATTCGGCATCATTTTTACAAAGTCTTAAATCGGGAGGAACAAGTGGGTGCTCGAATTTTGGACCAGCTGGGTCAAGAGCCGTGATTCTGCCTAGTTTCTTTCCGCTAAATTCCAAAATGTATTTGCCGATGAAAGCAGATGTTTGAGATCCCAAGGAATGACCTAGAATAACAAATAGCGATAATATTTATTCAAACGTTGCCTTTAGTTTAGGCAACACATAATTCATGTATACTAATATGGAATTCTAAAAATAGATAGCATAAATTGATCTACATCGATCAAATTCAGTAATATGCTAATATATATTGGACTTCTTACCAATGACATGAATATTTTCCAGAGGTATTCCAGAAGCAAGAAGAAACTTTGCCATATACTTTCCTATAGGGTTGGTGTTCGCACTGGAAACGTCATAACTCTTATTCCCAGCTATCGACCAATCGACATAAATCACATTGTGCGGACCTAACCTAAAAAAACTATCCCTCAATGGTCGGTACCACGGTGAGTTGTCGTTACTTGTCCATCCATGGATAAGTAGTACTGTCGGTATGGTTTTATCCAGGTTTGTGCTAGCCACATTTTCTTCTGTCAGAATCGTTCCGACTTCTTGTTCCGGGTGGATGAATAGTTTGTAAATGACGTCTGTCGCTACTGCATCTGCCAAAGAGTAGTCTACTGGAGGTAGTGATCTGTAAAACTCTTTTTCCTGATCCATAACTGAAATAACAAACGAGGCGACAGAAAAATTTCTGGAGTCATCGTACGATTTTATAAACTGAACTGATAAGATTACGTAATGATTAAGCAAATTTTATGTCTGAGTGTAAAGGCGCATTCCCACTTGTCTGTCCATATCCACGGTCAAATGAAAGTGAGACAATGAATGAATGTCAGAAGATGAATAATTAATAAAATAGTAGACTTAGATTTTTTTTATTCCGCAAGATTACTGTTTTTCTCGATATTTTATTGGCCAACAAATTACTCTACTTACTCGATGTTAAAATACTAGAAAAATTAATAAAAACTTGCAATGTAGGAACTAGCCTTTAGATAACTAGTGGGATTAGACTGTTTAATTATACACTTTTGTTATTTATGGTTGATTAAAATACGCCGTTTAATGAGGAATTTTACGTTGTATGAACAAATTTTTCGATGTCCGTTTCAATGCTACAAAAATATGCAATAAAAAAGTTTCTTAAAACTATCTTATTAAATTAATTTACCTTAATGAACAATTTAAAACCTTGGAACAAGTATTATCCACAAAACATTTACCTTCATATACAGTTAATATATAGACTAAATAGATAGCTAAAGGCAAGCAACTGAAATAGAAATATAAACAGTAATTAGCGTATGCATCAATTCTCCAATTTTATATGTTAAATGGTTATAACTTGCATCCAGTTTTAAATCGTTTGACCTTTACTATCAATTTGTTTGTCAATGCATATGCATTTCATAACCAACATTATTCACATTAAAATGCAAAAGATAGCATATTATACAGGGTATCCGCAAACATCGACAACGTTTGATTGCATATTCACGGTGATAAATAAATGCGATTTATGAAAAAAACTAACAAAAATGTTTGGTTTTTGAGTTACAAACCTTCAAAATTGTGAAAAATGAAACTAATTTAATTAATAACTTCATAACCCTTTTACCAATCGCGTTAAAATATGGCACTTTGGCATTTGGACTATTATGGTATATTATTTCTCATAGATGTTTTACATTGACAATTTATTCTTCAGTAAATTGACGAAGTTCTTCATCAATTAATTCACGAATTTATTGCTAAACAGTGTGGTTTTACACTGCTACAGACTTTGTCAAGTTTTTTGACGTATGAATCAGTTCTACCAACGAATCAAAGAAGCAAATAAATTTCAAAAATGTCGCCTTTCCACTCATAATTGTAGTGATACAACAGCGGTACCGTTCTGTCATATATTATATAAATATTAGTTTTTGTAAATAACAAATCAGTAAAAACAATGCAAAACTAGCACGACGCCACACAATTATTTACATATTCCAATAACATAACCTCATTACTGATCTGAGGCTGGAAATCTGTTGGGTTGGTACTTCCGAACTTCACGAAGAAATTGACGAAAATTAGAACGCTCTAATTCGTCAAGAACTTGATGAATAAATTGATGAATTTATTTGACAGCTGAATTGGTACATTACACTTGTCCAATTTCTTGATGAAGCGACTTCATCAATTAATTGATCAATAAATTGTCAATGTAAAACAGCTTTAAAAGCTTTAGTCAAATCAATATATTGGATGCTAGTTTTCTCCCGTTGCCTCTCCCTTTTAGCGTCAAAACTTTTACGGTAGTCGTATTTTTAAAAAAACAGGCAGCAACATTGAAAAGGTCGTTTTATTTAAAGGAAATATTGTCTCTTGAGAAAATCGCCCACGGAAAGCCATTCTTGCTATGAGTTCAGTAGACGATGAAAAGGAAATGTTGATTACTGTGTATCAGGTGATGTCATTATTGTCGTGTTTCTTTAGGATTCTCATCAGACCACACATGCAAATTATGAAAATTTACAATTCCGTTCCTTGTAAAACAAGATTCGTCGGTACAAACCAATTTTTGAAGCAAATTATTATCTTCTGTGAAGCCATCCACCAACCAGCCACAAAATTGTAAACGTTGGGATCTTTTCAAGTTCTTGAGTGGGAGTTAAATGAAATGGCCGAAGAAATTGCTTTTTTAAAGTTTTGTGAACACGACAATAATGACATTATCTGATAGCCACAGCAATCAACATCTTGTTTTCATCGCCTACTGACCTCAAAGTTTTAAATCCGTGACACTGCTACACAAACCGAAACATACAAATCTGCAAATAATGCCATTTTTCTAAGAAATGAGTTTCTCTCAAATTTGACTGAATTTGACTGAAGCTTTTTAAAATATCACATATAACACTTTTAATACAGAAAGCTCTGCTTTGTGCTTTAATATTCCAATATATTGGCAATTCTTTATTTTGACAAATGAAGCACTTGAACTATCAAAATTATTTGTTTAATTTATTGCAGAAAATAGTGCTACAAATTAATATACGGTTCTTCTCCAGTCGTTTCTATATAGTACACCCCATCAGCACCATTAGGTGTTGAATATCCCATTGGTATATTTGTTCCATTACACTTTCCTGTGAAAAGCAATTCAAAGGATTCACATCTAGACGCCATATAAGGTTGCTTTAAGGTTATACTTTCAGCATATAGCTTCCAACTTCTGCTATGACTACATGCTTCCGTGACCTGAATTGTAAAGAGAAAAAAAATACAACTGATATCGTCATATGAAAGTCTCTTTAAACTTAGGCAATTAACAATTTGTAAACGACATCTTTTTTACCTCTAACACTGAACAACCAGGTTGAGGAGGTCCTCCTCCATTAGGGTAGAAGTCTACGTGACCAATTGGTTGTTTTAGTCCAAGGAAACCAGCGCATGTGTGTATTACGTCTACAAGGTCAGAATCATTTGTGTTTAACCGACCTTCCTTCATCAATCCTGCGTCGAACCCTGGTAAAGCAGGATCTAAACCTGGTAGAACAAAAATTACAGGCGCTCAGTCAAAGACTACCAGCATATATTTATATGAACCTTTATTTTATTTTGAGGAATTATTTTTAAAATTTTTGTTCTCAGATAAATTTAGTTTATACAATTCGAGACTAACTGTATATCTACATAAATAAAGCATCTAATAAAGCTGTTTATTTTTAAACCATTTTACCCCAAATATATTTTTGGTGATTCAATGCAAAGCTTACAAAATGTATTTACCTGTAATTCTACCAACTTTTCCTTTAATTAAGCCTCTTGCAGCAAACCCAGATACGTGAGCGCCCAAACTGTGGCCAATGAGATGAAAGTCTTTGGGATCCATATTCATATCATTGACCAAGTAGTTCAGGAAGCGTGAGTAGTAATCCCCAACGTCTTTCGTACGTCCCATTGGGAATACATAAAATATATTTCCTTAAAAGCATATAATCTAAAATATTCTGATTGTATTCTTTGTATTAACAAACCTGCAATGGCGCTCCAATCAACAATAAACACATTAACATCGGAGGCTTCCAAATAGCCATTCTTTATGATAATGCAATTATCTTTCTTCCCACTAGACATCCACCCATGAGTCACGAACACAGTTTTCTTAGATGTGTCTATATGTCTTGAAAAATCTGTAAAATTTTTCAACTCGATCCCCTCGGGATTTTGCCTAAAACAAAAAATTAAAAACTTCTAAAATCCAGTCTTCAAATGTATGATGAAGTAATTAAAAACCATTCTTGTTTCACCTTGTGTATAATGTGAAGGTAACATCTTCTTCTACGTTATTTCCAATGCCAAATAATCTGTTGGGTCCAGCTGGAGGATCCAAATACCCCAACTGATTCCCATTTTCTTCATCAGGGAAAATTACAAAATTGTTTCCTAAATCTGGATATTTTTCCATCAAGATGCTCCTATTGTAAGTTCCATATGCTAGAAAAATCAGATCTAAAAGGGAAACAATAATGAACACTCATTCCTTTCAATGATTTTTCTTGCTCAGTTTCTAGCTACTTTCTACAAATGTTTGCTAAACTACTTACCTGACAATGTAAATATAAGTATTATTAAAACAGAATCGTACATTTTCCCAGTACCTAACCAAAACTGTTAATATTGTCCATTTTTCCTTAAACGCTTTTATACAACTGTTCAGTTTCATGGCTAAAATGGGTTCGATATACTTATCATTCGAAAATTAATAGCTGATATCACGAACGTTGTCTCTAATCGCCAAAACCATAAATATTCAGCAGGCCCAAGCGTATAGTGATTTCTGGTAACCTAAATTCTAAGCATTTGCCGTTGTTGATCAAAGTTGCTATATATTTTATACTTATCGCTGTCCTGCCATTGTTGCAGTCTATAAACTAAAAATCAAAAGGAAAAGTTTAAAAATAGAGCAATGGGAAATATGCATTTGAAGATTAACAGACTCAAAGGAAGAGAGTAGTAATAACTAAAATATGTAATTGGTATGGTATGTAGACAGTTAACAAAAACATTTAAACTAAATAGAGATACTAAATAGAAATACAGGATTCAAAAAGTACAAAATTCATGTTGTCGTCTTATTAGTGGTCTAAGAAAATATGACCATATATCTCATGTCATTGGGGAGATCAAGTGGCTCAACATGGATAATCGTAGGCGTCACCATCTTTGCAATTTTTTCCATAAGATTATCACTATTCCTTCTCATCATTCTTTAAAAACTAATTTTTTACAGCGTGGTAATGTTCATTCCAGAGATATTAGATTTAAAAACANAAAATTTGGGGGTGGAAAAGGGGCCGCGACCTTGAAAAAATGATCACGCGGTAGACTTTCACAATGATTTGGCATACCTATCCAAGTAAACCCCAATAAATAACTAAACCCCAAAATTTGAACAAAATATCTCAAAAACTGTAGGCGCTAGAAAGAAAAAATTAAAAAATTCTTCACTTTTGTACGCCCTGTAGGTCCGTATCGAAGCTTTTACGGACTTATATTGATATAAACTTTTCTACTTAAAATACGATTCTCTATCGCCTGTTAAAGTCCTGCTACAAAAAAGTGGTCCACCCTGTATAATGCGTGAAAATCTTGGAATTGTATCTGAAAATTACCAAATTTGTCTGTTACTAATCAAAACATGAAAATATTTCAGCATGACCCCATAGAGGAGACATTTCAAGAGTTTTAAACTGAAATATAATAATGAATATTGTATTTTAATGTAATCTTGATCTTATTGTTTTATTTTTACCGAAATTTATTTGCCAACGCAAAGAAAATAAAACTACTGTTCCGAACAAAATTACTGGCTACGTGGCTTATAATCATTTATGAAGGCTATCTATAATGACGTCTTACGCGTTATTCTGTATTAAGGTTAAGAGTGCTTGAATGATTCTGTTCATTCTTTTCTACTTTGTCGAAGAACCTGGATCAGTTTCGGAACACTATCACAAAAAAAAGGTGAAACCATGAATAGTTCTCAAATGTCCTCCTGGAAGAAGCTGGAATTCCTGCACTATATGGTATCTGAAATTCCTAACATCAGGGTGTTCTCTGCACAGCTCTATCCCTTACTACTTTGACTCTTTGAAGGATGTTTCGCGGAGGAAAATAAATTTAAAAGAAACCGAAAAATCGTAAAAAATTAAGTCAGACAATGTTTTTTGATGAAAAATGTAAGTAAAAGATAACTAATCTCATGACAAAATTCTTAATTAGTGATATTGTGGCAAATGGCTACTATATGGACTACACATGTCTCAACTGGTATTGACGTATACCAGCAGTAATTAAAATTAAAAATGTCTGTATAAATATTTTTAAATCAAAAATATACTTATTATTATTAAATAATATAATATTAATTGAAGTTTCTTTTACATTTTCGGTAGTAAAGTAACAATATGCGATATCTGTTTTTAGTATTAACACTTTACTTTCATTTTTGTCCTAGTATCCGAACTACCTAACTCCAGTTTGAAGAATATTGTTACTTATTCAAATATATTATGTAAGCATAGTGGGAGCCTATTATATTATTTAAATGTTATCGATACAATAAAATACAGATACATTTTTATGTATTATTTCTACACCATGCATTATTTCCTATATCCTCTACTACTGAAGTAAATTGGCGTCTTTAAACTAATACTTTTATCACAACTTCATCCAAATATATTTTTTGCAAATACTAACCATACAGAACTATGCCATTGTAATAACTTGTCACTGTCAGTGGACTATCATCAGGAAATTTCTATATTTGGACTTTATATAAAATATTTGTTCCTCTGACTACTTTCTTTATATTTTTGAATAAAACAATAATTATAATAAAATATAATTTATTAAAGCAGTAAAAAAATTAAAATCCTACTATATTAATAAAGTCAGTGACGTCATACAGCAACACGTCTTCAGCCAGCTTAGAATTTATCCGCACATCCTTCTCTTGCTTTTTGTAGAGCTGTTCTATCACATATTCCTCGTCGATGTATTCCAGGATCTCCTTCTTGTACTTGTTCAGGATTTTCGACCTGTCTCTGTCCGATTTGAGGAGAATCTCGATGGCTGGTCCGTCGTACTTGCCCACGGCGTAAGGAGACACGGACTCGGTTATGACTAGGTACACTCCACGAGCGTGGGGACTGATGAACTCGCCAATCATGATTTGAGGATCTTTTGGGGGGCATCTGCCTAGGAGGTATTGGAGGTAGGAGGGGCAGGGCCATCCAAAGAAACCCTTTTCGGTGTTGACAGACTCCGCGTAGTAGAGGGGTGCCCTATGATGATTGCAGGCGAAAAATCCTGAAAAAAAACATTTGTAATGAAGAGGAACAAACATTGGCTACAATAATGAAAATTACAATTAAGTATAAGTGCGCTACTGGAACTCCAATTTAGATAAAATTTACATTTGAGAACAAACTATTGAATTGAACTATTATTGTAGGAGGTCTTGTCGAACATACAACCAGTAAATATGTTACCGTAGACATAGTGGAGTGCACTAAAAGCTATACTATGAATTAGAGGCACATTTAATTTTAAGAATGTTAATTGACCACTATAATTTTCAAAAGAACTTTAAGAAAGGAAGGACAATGAGAAGGAATCCCTTGTAAAGACAAACCGATCTGGTATATGAACGATACAAAGTCACAGGGATCAGAGGTGGAAGACTAAGGAAAGGGTACAAGTTCTACCTAGCCTAGGAAATAGTAGGGAAGAAAGTCAAAAACCAACGAATTGTTATTCATTCCGACAATCGACTCATATACGATCTATTCCACGTTGACAACTATATAACTGTTTGGATGCTTTAATAAAAATAAAAAATTAGAACGACATAACCGTAGGTTGCGTTTCAAAGCATGAAGACATCGTGGCAACGAGAATATAAAGCTCTACAGGGGCGGTAACTCCCTTGTGGCGTTGCTAGTCCATTAGTAATACACTCATGCAGAAATGACTAAAAGATAAAGCCCAGTGATGGTAATAGGAAATACCTAGATAGAAGCAAGTCATGAAAACAGCATCGAAGGAGTTAACAGCAGACTTACTAAACCAAAATCGCAGACATTATGGATCGTAGGATTTTTAACAGGACATTAGAGACCCAGCAAACATTTGAGTAAAATTGATCTGAAGGAAAATAACAGTTGTATATTCTACCAGGAGAAAGAGGCCGAAGTCCATAACAGTAATTCAGAAAACAAAGACTGGAAGCTGACATCTATGTGAAGAAACCGCTGTCAAAGCTGCAGAGTCTGATTGGAAGAAGTCTAAGCTTCACGAAGATCTACAATAGGCCTCTGGTTGGTCGCAATAGTAAAGAATAGTGTATCCCCTCCATATACTTACAATCTACGATTGCTGTACATAGTGTAACATCGAGTTGCGACGTACTTTCAGGTCTGATTCTTTGATTAGAAACAACTTTTCGCAATACACAGGTTTCAAATTTTCTATATTACAATTCTTTTACTGCAGCTATCTAGGAGGTAGGAAACACATTACCACGAAATTAAAAAAACACAAGTATCACCTAGAGAATAACAACAGAAATAATCAGCAGTTGTGGAGCGCTGGGCAGATATTTTACAAGCGCTAAACCTAAGTAATTTTACACTCTAGTAAAAGATAGATCTTGGCTCTACAGAAAATCAATAAAAATTTAGAAAAATTATAATTAGTTGAACTGAGACGAGGATCTAGAACTACCCAGGATTTCAAGCGACTTGCAGATATAAGACAAGGATCAGAACATCGCAGAAATGTTCAAGAAATCTTTACAATTGCTGGAATAATAGACCACTTCCACAACTATCAGGCCATTGGCTTTAAATCATGCGCGGGAACGATATGGACCAATACACACAGCAGTATATAAATACCAGCCAGAGGAGTTAATCTCTAGTTTTACAGTTTCTTCTGAAGATGAGAACGATATGCCTTTCGAAACGTCTAGTAATTTCACTCAGTGACGTCTTAACTAGTTCGAAAATTGTTCAACTGAGATTTTCTAACTAGAAATAACTTTTTTGACAGTAGAAATCCTTCAGAAGTCATTGATAATTTTTTAATCAAATGTTACTTATAGGCTAACTGACACTAACTGCATTGCACCTTTTAAGTAAATGTATTCATTGGATCTTAAGTCATTTATGGAATACAGTATTTCACCTTTTTTTAAGGGTTACCGAGCCCTTAGGAATCGTTATAAAAAAATATTACTGTTTTATGGTCGCTGTTACTAGGATGACTACTGCCTTTTTACGTATCCTGTATATTATACCTATTCATTTGATAAAGATTCTGGTATTTCTTTAGCAAAGTTATGCTTATGCTTCTGAAAACCAATTGTGTACTTTATTTTTCTAAATAAAATTATTAAAAAAGTAATTAGTAACAGACGGGCGGTTAACAAAATGTAACTTTTACTCTAGCATTTCGGCTATTACCAAATATTGACTAATCCGAGAGAAAGATGATCGGTATGCTAAATTTGGCAGCAGGTCAATAAACTGTGAAATCAATCAATTGGAATATTATTATGTTTAGATTGTGCCTGCGTTTCAGCAAGTGCAATTTTTTTCGTCGAACAAATCTTTTTAAGATATTTTTATAGAATATATACTTTCCCGCAGATATCTGTTCCAGGAAATAAAACATTGTGTATCCGTAGGTACTTGTAAAAGCAAGGACGTTATAAATTGAAGTTCAAGATTGTACTTTTACTACATACAATTTTTTCTGAAGTCGCAATCGATATTATTACAAATTGAAATATGCTTAATGCACATATTCATTTTTTAATCTAGATTGCGAAATCGAAAATGAACGTTTTATTTGCGAGCCATAGCGAGAAAAAACATTCTAAACGTAAAAAACTTTTAAGTTCCATAGACAAAAAACTGTTATTTTCACACTTAATCAAGTAAAAGTCAACTTTTAATTATAGTTTTCGAAAAATATTTTTTTCATTACTACCAAAATTATGAAATCGTTTTCTTGACTGTTGATTTTCTGTTGTGACAAAAATTCCATTCATGACTTATTTCCCGATTTGAAAATGTCATGATTTATATTTCGAAATATTTGAAAATACTTGCTTTCCTGAAAAGTCAAAATGACAACTATAAACAAAAGAAGTCAACAATTGCTTGCAATTGAATTACTTCGAACATTTATTAAAACTGTTTTACATTGACAATTTATTGATCAATTAATTGATGAAGTCGCTTTATGAAGAAATTGGACAAGTGTAATGCACCAAATCAGCTGTCAAATAACTTCATCAATTTATTCATCAAGTGCTTGACGAATTAGAGCATGTTCTAATTTTCGTCAATTTCTTCGTGAAGTTCGGAAGTACCAACCCAACAGATTTCCAGCCTCAGATCAGTAATGAGGTTATGTTATTGGAATATGTAAATAATTGTGTGGCGTCGTGCTAGTTTTGCATTGTTTTTACTGATTTGTTATTTACAAAGACTAATATTTATATAATATGTGTCATAACGGTACCGCTGTTGTATCACTTCAATTATCAGTGGAAAGGTGACATTTTTGAAATATATTTGCTTCTTTGATTCATTGGTAGAACTGATTCATTCGTCAAAAAACTTGACAAAGTCTGTAGCAGTGTAAAACCACACTGTTTACCAATAAATTCGTGAATTAATTGATGAAGAACTTCGTCAATTTATTGATGAATAAATTGTCAATGTAAAACAGTTATTACTCAAGCACCTGATCATATAAAGCGTATTTAAAGAATGTGTCACAAATTTGGCTCAAAATATACACAAAAGTCTGCATGAACATAGTTCAGCAAATGAACGGTTTCGGAAATAAACAGAATTCGTTTATACCACTTTTCTTTTCTATCTACAAGCAACGTAATTTAAAAACAATCAAAAAAATAAAAAACTAAAAAATGTTCAAAGTACGCTTCCCCCATTTCAAAGCAGCCACAACATCTTCACCGCAAGGACCTTCTGTGCATTCTTGTCATTCACAGGCAAAGTGTATACTAAAGTTTGATATAGATAAGTCTCTTCCTACCTGTCTTCCTCCAAAAGTTCCATGTAAATACTCTCTCACGGCAAACGAAACTTGCGCCAGAGCACCATCCTGCTCAAACCACATTTGTTGCCTTTGGTTCAAAGGAATATTGTCCAATGTGTTCTGCAAAAAGTTTATCTAAACAACGCCCCTTACCGGTTTAGTAAAACAACCGGACCTAATAATCTCTAGCCCAAAATACCCGCCCAATTGTTCAATAGTAGCATGACGATTGTCTCACACATGCGTATTGTGGAAATTAAAAACTCCATGTCGTGCGAACCCGACCTGATCAGAAAAAAGAATATTGACAAGAAAATTGGAGTCCTCATCATCATTTCGTTGAAACCAGCGTGATTAGTTGGATTTAGAGCCTGGACTCATCGTACATGGTACGGGTGAAACTGCTGTTGCTCGTTCTATATACAAGAGAAGTAGTAATTCCTATATCTGCTGATATTATCCACAAACTTATCCTCGGATACTGTTCGACCCGTGATAATATTGTCTTTTATGCTTCAGAGGTGCACACCGGCCTTGGTCTTCAGGAATCACGGGTCTGTTTCCCAATTGAACTGGTATCTTTGGTGTAGTCTTATAAAAATACGAACTGAAGGGATCTAGCGTTTGGGATGAGCATCAACATAAAAACGTAGCGCTCTCTAGCATTCTCATATTAGCTCGGACCATACATGAAATGCATGTCGACTAATTCATTGATAGACTAAACAAACATAACAAAAATTCGTAAAATTCCCTTCAAGTTTGTGACACATTTTTTTAAATATCCTGTGTATGATGAACCAGGTACATTTAGACTACGAAAATTTTTAATTTGTCTAGATATTTTTTTACTTTTTGCGTTACATTAATATTTGGTGTAGCCTGTACATATCGCTTTTATGACCTGTATCAATTAAATTTGAATGGCAAGGAAGGTTTGGAAGTTTCTAATTAAAATACCCGGATATAACATCGTATAGGAAATATACAATCCAACATTTGTTGAGATAGAATTTCAAGATAAGAATAAAGCCAATAAAGTTCTGTTATCGAAACAACTGTAACAATTTATTATCGGGGCAGGGGTGTGCCTTGAAATTATCCGCCAATGTTTTTCTACCTCGGGTGTCGAATGCGGTTAATTCCAAGAAAGTGACGCAGGGGTCTTCTTGGAATTTGGTCTCAACAAGTATTCTATGGACTGCAGTGCATCCCTTCCAGAAGATTTAGAAAGTTGCCGCTTTTTCATGAAATATTCAAATGGAAAAGATTGCAGGTAAATAGAGAGAGTACATCAGTTTTGTAAAATGCCTCAAAATTTTTAAATTTGCCGAACTCAGATTTTGACGTTTCAACATTTCATTGTTTCTAAAAGTTTTGGGTTTTACGTGTAATTTTGGTCTACTAATATTTGTTAATTCTATTTGAAAGGAAGCCAAAAAACAATCCTAACTCTATTGACTTTTGTATGTGTTGGCCTTTGTCAAGAGTGATGTTAGAGCAATAAGAATGGAACATATTTTTTAAAAGATTGCGTTATTTAATAATTTAATTGTCAGCTATGTTTTAGAATTAATAATAATTAAAAATATCATTTTTATTTATACAGGGTGTTAGAAGTTTGACTACCTTCATTTTGACAGACGATAGAATACATTAAAATAAACTTGATGTACAAATTAAGGAATATTGACATAACTGCGTGCATAGAATGCCATCAAATTCAATGTTTATCACTTTTTTCAACTTCTTTACGCTTAATTCTAAAAAATAATTAGCGTTGTAATAAATTTAAAATTCGATAAAATTCATTTCGAGCAATGTGACAACGGCGCGGCGATTAACACGAGGTACTAAGGTGTCCAGCAACCACCAATACATACGTAATTCAGTTGGTATCTGGATTCGACCGTGTTTGAGTGTTTTTTGCGTACCACTATTTCCTTTTCTTGAGGTGTTTTCCAGCGAATGCGCGAATTAGACTCGAAGGTGTCGTGCGTGCATTGAAAATGGTGATGGACTTTTTGAGCATATGTTGTAGTTTGTTTTGTACTTGTGTATTTAAAAATTACTGAATTTTGCTTTTTGGCAAGTACCTAAATTACTTTTACATAAGATTATTTGGTCGACGTGAATCTTTGGGTACTTTAATTACATATTTTTCAAATACATAATTTGATTAAAAGTTAAGTTCCTGTTTAAGAGATTCATAATTAGGTACTAAAATTCGAGCTAAAATTTAAGCACAACACTATCTTCGTACTACAAAATCGATACATATTATTTTATTAATTTAAAAACTGGGAAACAATTGTCTTGAAATTTATTAAATGTTTCACAATAATAGTTGTTTACATTTCTTCCGTAGGACAAGTCTGCCGCGTGCGCACGTGGTGTACATCAGCTGTGTAGAATGCTACACAGCTAATGCAGGTTAAGCCCTGTTGTCACGTTGTGATGAAACTCCCCAATATTTATACTCGCTGTATTTTGAAAACTGGTAATCTAACGTCCCTGTAATATATAACTCTTTTTTATTCATTTATGATTACTCTATCTCATGCTGAAGTAATGGCAATCAAACTTCTTGCACCCTGTATTTTAGATAACTATTAATTATTAATTGTTTATTAAATATTGCTGGTATAATTCAGTGCTAGTTGGGGCATGTAGTTTTCTGCAATATCATCAGTTAAAAATATTGTATTTGAGATTAGATATTTTTTGTATTCCTAAATTCCAAAGAACAGTGTCTAGGGTTGCCAGATCTATTTCATGACAGACCCGGAGAAATTGATGTCCAAAAAAAAAAGGTCTTTAGGAAATTGTGAAGTCAAATCGATCTCTAAAAAAAAAAAAGTCTAATTTTTAGGAAAATGGAAAGTAGAAAATAACTTTCATATTTGGATCCGAACTTGCTCCGAGGAAGAGTAGGTACATAATCTTGAACAATTTCAGAAAAAAATTATTCCACGATAAAGTACAAAATCTGATAAAAAAATCTTACTTCTTTCCGCCCAACAACCAGGTTGGATGACCCCTCCATTTATATAAAAGTCAACATGGCCGCTTTCCTCCACTTTCCCCTGCATGAAGGCATTCGTGTGGTACACATCCACAAATTCAGCGTCGGATTTGTCCAACTTATCATCTAACACAGGAGTTATGAAGCCAGGGAATGCCGGATCCAGTCCTGTTATCCTTGGTAACTTGTAAGGACGAAGAGCGATAGCCATGTAGTTTGTTATGTGGGCACCTATAGCAGAAAATAAAAAATTACTTACCGGACTACTACTTTTTCCTCATCTGAATCCGTTTGAATAAAAATTCAAGTCTTTAAAATATGTCCTACCTAAACTAAAACCTATTACGTGTATATCAGTTCCTCCTAACTCCCTAATTCTTTGGACTAGCTGCGCAGTACAAGTCCCGACATGTCTGACATTTATCAATGCGCCGATGTAGCAGGGAGAACGGTTCAAGGGACTCCAGTCGACCGCGAAAACGTTGAAATCTCTCGTTTTTACATATTCTAGAAAAAAAAACAATTCATATTTAGTCGTTAGCAAAATAAGCAAGATAACAACCACAATGTACTTCCAGACTTGTTTATTTTTATTCTTTTTAAAAGTAGATCAATATTTGTTTGTTTTAAAAGAAAAAATGTACCTTTTCTTATTTCCTCCAGGGCACTTAAATGCATGTTTGAATTGTATCCGTGTATGACAATCTTGGATGGTTTAGATGGGTCGAAAGCCGTGTCCATTAAATTTGAAATATTGCGTTCCAAACCAACGCTAATTTGCTCTGGATGCTCGGGATTGAATCGGGTATAGAGGTAGAACGTTACATCGGGATCAGGACACATCCTGGAACAAAATTTTTGGCTTGGTTTTTAAGGTTCACTTCTTGTTGGTGTTGTTATATTGTTTCATGGACTTACGGATTATAAACAATTCTACAAGGTCCGAAAGAGAAGACGCCTTGTCTAGTGCCTCTGTTTACATCTTGTATCACTGGTAAGCTTGATATGGAAATATTTTTGAAATCTAATTCATCTGGAAGTATCTGAGTGTATGCGTCTGTAAAAAAATATATGTTTAGAATATTTTTGATCTGTTAAGGTGGATATTTCATAAATTCATTAAATGGGATGTTACTGTTATATCTTAGCCACTGAAATGGAAAAAAGGATGTCATAGGTTTTGCTTACAGAACCATAGGTTTTATATTTAAAAAATTATATGTGATAATATATGAGTAAAGCAATTACACCAACGTCACCAACTACATGAATTTTATACTTTTTTTAATATAGAATTTGTACAAGTTTCGCTTACTATTTTTTTCTATGAAAAAAATGGCAACAATCAAATAGAACCAATCAGAGAGTTTTGCTCCATCTTTCTTGTTATGATTTGTCTTTCTTAAACAACTTTAAAAATTGAACTTTTTTACATTAAACTTGTCTTTTACGTTTTTGTGCTTAAAATTAGCCATTTTCGAGTATAAATGATTTAAACTTTGTCAGTCTTTTAAATAAGGAAAGCAACATTGGATTAGATAATTTATTATTTGTCAATAATTTATTAATAAGAACTTTTTGTGTAAAGACGTTCAAATGTCAAAGTCTAGTCTTTAAAGCAAAATATTTCACTAAATGTTCATTTATATTGAATAATATTCATATTTTAAAAAATATTTTTTCAGGGGTTTTAACTGGAACATCCTGTATCTGGGAATCTAAACATTCCCTCATTCAAGTTTACATATAGTCCAGACGGTATCTGTTTCAAAAAGCCATATTTGGGTGAATCGTATATCCACGGAGATTTTTGGCTTTTTGGCTTTCATATTTCACTAGAAATGAACATTTTTCTATGCGCATAAAAAGAAATTATGGGCTTAACTTTTGGCTGCACAATATTTTTAAAAAATTCGAAAAATGTCATATTTTTCTTCCTATGATTGTTATATAATCAAATTTATGACTTTTTTGTAAATAATAGTCTCTTACCTCAATCGCAATGTGGCTTTAGAAAAGGGTATAGTACCTCAACTGCTCTAATTACCGTCACTGATGATTTAATAAAAGCACAGGACAGGGGACTAGTTAGTGCCTTAGTTTTACTGGACTTCTCTAAAGCTTTTGACACAATTAATCATAAGCTTCTTTGTTCTAAACTTAAGTACTATGGGTTTGATGAACCGACTTTAGATCTTATTAATTCTTATTTACATGGAAGATCTCAACAGGTATGTGTTAATAACATTTTATCTAATAGTTTAGAAATACTTTCTGGTGTACCCCAGGGGTCAATTTTGGGTCCCTTACTTTTTATAATTTACACTGCTTCCATTTTAGAATCAATTCAACAATGTAAAGTACAAGCTTATGCTGATGATACTCAACTATATTATCATTTTGATATTAATGATCTGGAT